TTCTGTTGGAGAGAGGCCAGGAGCTATCAAAGAGCGTCCAATCATCCTATTTATTATTTGATTAAAATCAGAGTATGGAGCTCAGGCTATCTCTGTAATCCACGATTTGTCTTCTGGGTTTGGCATACATGCGATTGATGCATGGCGCGGCGAAGCCAACTTGAAACATGTCGTTCATGGTTTTAATTTCATTACGAAACGACGGGCATGATTAAACCGCATCGATGCATGATCGTATTATCACGATGAACGGGCCAAGAAACAAGGAATACGACGCAAAGAAAGAAAAAAAAAAGGTAAACGAGAGGAGAAAAAATATCAACACTTGGGTTCCCCGGGACGTGGCAGATATTTTTCCTGATTCAAAATTGTTGAAAGACGCGCAGGGATAATGCACTGTCTAGGACTGTGTGTGAAGTGCATTTGTTTGAGCATGTTTCTTGGTATAGTGTATGTTGATAAATGAGTGCGAGCTATTAGGGGAATTTGAGCGAATTCTAGAAGGGGAAACGGAAAAAACGAAAGGCGACATTTCTCTCTTCTAAAGTTCTATGCTTTCTACTCCTGCATCTGGCGGTATTAACAGGGGAAATTTGTGAAAGTGCACAGGTATCCAATTACAGATACATTATTTCGTTTCGGTATTACATTGTCTATCTTTCTTTCGGGGTACATAGTAACTGCACCGACTTGGAGACCCACATGGCTGCTAATGCACTTCCTTAATATCGCAAATGGAAAAACTGATTAGACCGAGGTATTCTGATTGGAGATTTCCTGTATTCCAATCAATAATGGAACAATGCTACATCTGAAAGGACTTCAATGTCAGTGTGTGGGACTACACTTAGGAATATCATAAAACACAGTCGATCCTTTACTTGCTCGAGCTTCTTTTAAATTCCATTTTACGAACAGTAACCAAATGTAATCAAAGTTGCAACTGTATAGGATAGAATTCTGAATTTTCTCTGTTTCACAAATATTACACTCTTCCGAATTAATTTCTGTTCATTATCCCAGTTCCCCCCGAGGAATGAAAGAATAATCAGTTCAAAACATAATAACTGCAAAGGTTATCATCATTCATTCACATCATTGCTTGCTCTCAAACATACTTAATCAGCATGATCAGTGTAGAAATTATTTTAAACAAGCATGTTATCATGTCACTGACAAACATCGCTGAATTTCGACAAAGAAAACATCTATACAGTCAATAATTAAAGACATCAAAAGTGAAAACATAGAAACTTGAAGACAACCATTTCGGAAGATTTCCCAACAGGGTTGGTTGTATTTTCCCTATAGGAGAACACTCATTGAAGATGCGCGTATCGCAAGGGAAATGAACACATCCTTGCTGCCAACCAATTCAAGAGAAAGGAGGATATTACAGCATTTTGCTCTGATTTATGAAAGATCCAGAGATGAAGAAATTTCATCCGTCAGATTTGTCACCCAAGAAAGCGGGACAGGGAATAAAAGAGAGAAAGGGCAAGAGAGAGGGAAAGGAAGGAGGAGAGAGATTGGGGAAAAGGAAGATAAAGAAAAGGGGAAAGATCTGTTCTTGCTGATTCGCAAGACGCGCTCGATGTATCATTTTATCCAATGAGTTTAATGCCAGTAGTATCACAACCTCGTCTCCGTTCACAATCGAGTAAATTTAATCAACTGGATTTCCCGCCTTTTTTGTCGTGTCTTGAGCGTCACCATTTTCATCATCGCTCTCTTCCCTTCTCTCTCCTCATTTCTTTCTCTTTCTCTCTGAATCTCTATCTTCCTACCCAGCCTTCTCATTTTCTTCTCCAATCAATAAACTGGGGTTGGACACTTTAATAATCCGAGTGAGCAAGAGGCGCAGACAGCAGTGGGCTAATGAAAAAAATTCGGTGCAATGTTTTGGAATCGCGTCAAATCAGAGTGGCTGGCTGATTAAAACGGAGTAGAAGACGTGGGGTGGGTGTGGGTGTGGGGGAGATTCCATATATTAAACCATATGCCCTTTCCCACTGCTGCTGATTAATCAGCATAATCACGCAACGGCTCCGTGAAGGGTGGGGTAACCATAAACCCTCCTACCAACTATACCACGGCCGTTCGCTGAAGGTTAAAACGACAGCCCCTCTGATAGTGCGCGCGAACATGGCAATGTGAACGTCAGCTAATCGTCTGGAGAGAGGTGGAATGACGTGTGGTACTTCTTATCACAGATCAAAGATATTGCTCAGTTCTACCATCATCACAACGCACACACGCACCCCTCCCCACGCCCACACCCTCTCTCCACTCACCCACCCCACCCGCAGAAAAAAAGCAATAAGGTATATCTTTCAGGATGAGCTGGTTTCATTTAATTACTTCATGCAAATTGCATTTGGTTGCCCTTTTCATTACTTTTCTCATTATCCACTCCAAAAGGACCATCACCAACAAAGGATCTCGACAGATTTGCAGTGCGTCTCGTGTGCCTACCGTTACAACCAAGGCCACTTTGCTTCATATCCCTGATTTGTAATCAATTTATTTCCATATTTACTGCAATAACACCTGGGTTAATTATTATATCAAAACCATACGGGTTGGCACGGGATAGAGATAATTACGTTATAAAGAATCAAGATTGATATGACTTGCAGTAGATGAGTTTGTAATTTAATTAATTACTTTGATTATATTGCATTAACTATAAGGATAAAACGGGGCATATTGCGATACAAGTATTGCTTTCACTAAATTTCTTTGTGTTTGTGAAAATATTAGATGTTTTGTTGAAAATATTTATTGCTACAAAGCTTATTTTGTACGAAAATGTCGGGATTGTGACAAATCATATCTCAGTGGTGTGTTGAGGTATGTATTCGTGCTCCTTTTGGGCCTCTCCGAATCCCCCCCCCCCCCCCCACTGCAAACACAAAATTACAAAAGTTAATTTATTGTAATTGGTGTTTACCTACATGTACTTATATATCGCATACATTGACGGCTGTACAGCGCACCAATAAATTTAATGTATCCCCTTCCGAAAACATTCGATTCGTATTCTCTGTACTTAGCATACACGTCATGGAAATATGTTGGTTTCCTGAATTAAAGAACGGAAATTAGTCGAACACTTATCAGAGACCATTCAGGATCGGGCAGGCATGCCACTGAACTTGATTACATTCACGTACATGGTATACACTGCGCAAGATAGATTGCTCTTTGCGTCCAGTCGCGCAATAACACGAGTGCAGTAATTGATCTAGGGAGGAAATTACTACTGGAACAGGAGAGAGGGAGAGAGGAGGGGGAAAAGGAGATCAGAGAGAGAAGTTTAACAAAAAAAAAAAAAAAAAAAAAAAAAAAGCGAAGAGTAATCAGGAATTCCAAACTCATCAGGGCTGTGCAAATGTAAATAGTGCAGAAAGAAATTAATCACGCGCAGTTATTGGGAATTCATACATTCATTCCTATTCTGCAATCGTACGCATGGGTCGACGGTAGGGGGTAGACAAACGGTGCTAGGGAGGGGTGGGGCGACGCGATCCGCCGATACATTACAACAACCCTCAAGTCTGTTTAATTAAAATACATCCCATTGCACTATATGCTCACTTATCTTTGCAATGATCTGAGTCAATAAATTTGGTCAAGGTGAATTAATTGTTCCCTGGTCGTCGTCACACATCACGCACCGTGCTCCTAGTTTAATACCTCCCTGGCTATGCCGGTATTATTACGATGCTTTTCATCATACACGTATCTAGATCCTATTCCCAAAGCATTGTTATTATGTAGAAGACGGGACGCTCTCTCCGAATACATCTTTCTTCGTTTTCTTCTTCATCAGTTTAAAAGCCCGAGATTAATCACAAAAATGTTTCAGCTGGAAATTACGTCTGGAGGCTGTGTAAATGACAATGCCTACATATCCAGATGGAGTAACGCACAAAGAAACAATTGGTGAATTGGTCCACGTTTAGACATTAAACACAATTTTCGAACTCACATCAGTCAAATACAAGACGCTGTATTAACCCTTTTACATTTAATCAGAGTGTTAGAAATGTTGATAAATAGTCACAGACAAGAAGGTTGCCATGTATTACGCTTGGATGAGGTTTGAATGGGTGCAAGTAACTGGTCGGATAACTGTAATACAGCTTTCTCATTTCCACAAATGCTATTTGACATTGCTAAACCCATCCATTAGTTTCAAATAATTATAGTGTGTTAAGGAAAAAGCTTAGGTAATGTGAACAGGACTGATATTCGGCAATTCTATCTTTTGCAGGTAAGTGCTTTAATTTACCTGCAACATAATGAGCTAATTCGTGGGGTAATATACAAACAGCGTCGAACAGTATAATTGTCATTATAGATTAACGAGAGACAAGATCCTTATGGTGTTTTCAAAAATTATTATAATACCCTTAACTGTAAAATAAAATTCAAACTGGGCTTAGTTTTGGTGTCGCACTATTAGAAGGTAAGCGTTCTTCTTCATTT